CCTCGAGGCTCCCTCTGGCCTGATACCCCCCGGCCTCCCCACGGGGAGCTTGGGCATCCTGTGAGGAGTTGCCTCGGGCCTCGGCTGCATCTGCATCTCCACCTTCATGTCGGTAAAGCAGTTCCTTACAACATACACACATATATGTGCACACACGTATATGTTTACCCAGTGCGTGTGCACACACACACTCAGATACCACCTTCATGTGCATATATATATACATGTACACATATGCACATGCAGACAGACGTATATATACACATACATATGTATATACATGTATGTCTTTAACTATGTGAGAGATACTATTCCCACACACCCAGAAGGGCTGTCCCAGGTGGCCAGCACGGCTCGGGCGCTGCCCCCAGCTTGTGGAGCTCCAGCGCCGCAAGCTGAGACACCTATAGCTACAGCAGATGTTATATTGCAGGAGCGGACCCCTCACTGCAAGGAGGACACTGGGGCCCTGGAGCTTGTCCAGAGAACAGCAGTGAAATCGGTGCAGGGGCTGGAGCACAGACCGTGCGAGGAGCGGCGGAGGGAGCCGGGTTATTTAGTGCGGAGAGGGGGCTCCGGGGAGACCGTATCGCTCTCCGCAGCTACCTGGAAGGAGGCTCTAGTGAGGGTCGATCCCTGCTCCGGAATACCTGCGGATAGGACAAGAGGAAATGGCCTCAGGTTGCGCCAGGGGAGGTTCAGGCTTGATATTAGGAAAAATTTGTATGTTTTTTTTGAAGAATGGAGCGGGCTGCACAGGGCGGTGGTGGAGTCAGCGTCCCTGGCAGGGTTCAGGAAATGTGTGGATGGGACACGGTTTAGCAGGCAGGGTGGTGAAGGGCTTAGGTTGGACTCGATGATCTGGAAGGTCTTTTCCAACCATCACGATTCTGTAATAGGGTTTTTCTATATTGTAGCTATGTGACTTTAAAGCACCTAAGTACACACATACCCTAGGGCTGCTTTTGCACACAAGCGATACAAAGAGAGGATGGTTCAAACAAGCCCTGCGTGTGGGACAGGAGGTGACCGTGTGTGAGTGTGTGTGTGCAGGGCAGCCTGCAGAGCTGAGGGGCAGCC